ATGGCAACGACGCCAACGTCTCTGACGACGACGATGGCGACGGCGGTCACGATGGCGACGGCGACGGCGACGACGACGGCGACGGCGACGACGACGGCGACGGCGACGACGACGGCGACGACGACGGCGACGACGACGGCGACGACGACGTTGACGATGGCGACGCTGACGACAACTGTTCCGGCGTTGATGGTGACGACGGCGGCAACGGCGAGACGACGGCGGAGACGACGACGGCATCACGACGGCGACGACAGCGACCACGACGTTGACGACGACGATGACAACGGTGATGACAACGACGACGACGACGACGAAGACGGCGGCGGAGACGACGACGGCGACGACGCGACAACGGCAACGTTGGCGACGACAATGACAACGCTTACGACGACGAAGGCGTCGGCGACGACAACGGCGACGACAACGACGGCGACAACGACGGCGACGAGGGCGACGACGACGGCCACGTCGTCGGCGTCAACGGCGACGGCGACGACTGCGGCGACGACGGTGACCACGACTGCGACGACAGCGATGACGTTGACGACATCGGCGACATTGACGACGCTGGTGCCGAAGTTGACGGTGGCGACGACGACGGCGATAACGACGACGCCAGCCACGGCGACGACGTTGATGACGACGGCGACGGCGACGACGACGATGGCGACGTTGGAAGCGACGACGACGTTGACGACGGCAACGGCGACGGCGACGGCGGCGGCGGCGACGACGACGGCGAAGGCGGCCGCGACGACACTGACGACGTTGACGACGACGATGGCGACAGCGACGACGACGACGAGGACGACAGCGACGATGGCGACGGCGACGACGACAACGGCTGGATGGCGACGACGATGTTGACGACGACGGCGACGACGACGGCGTCGTTGACGACGACGAAGGCGACGTGAAAGACGAAGGCGACCACGGCGACGGCCACGACGACGACGGCGACGACGATGGCAACTACGACGTCGAGGTTGACGACGACGATGGCGGCGTTGACGATGACGACGGTGACGGCGACGACGGCGACAACGGCGACAACGACGTTGACGGCAACGTGGACGACGAGGTTGACGACGACGATGGCGAAAGGCGTCGGCGAAGGCGACGACAACGGCGAGCAATGCGGCAACGACGGCGACGACTGACGACGACGTTGACGACGACGTTGACGGCGACGGCGACGTCAACAATGGAGACGGTGGCGACAGCGACGACGGCGACGACGGCGGAGACGACGGCGGAGAGTGGCGGGGGGCGACGACGGCGTGACGAGCGCCTGCGGAGAAGGGCAACCAAGCAGAGGGTTGACCGGCGCAGGGCGAGGGAGGAGGCGGGGCGGGATGGCCTCCTTCCCCCCTTTCTCCTGTTCCTGCCGCTTCTCCTCTCCTCCTCCTCCTCCCCTCCTCCTCCTCCTCCTCCTCCTCCTCCTCCTCCTCCTCCTCTATGCGGAAACTTATATCCACGCGGCGGAGAGGACTGATCCGTGGGACGCCACTGCAGGTCTGGTCCGCGCCCGCGCACGTTGCGCCCTTGAGCTGTTGCTGGAGGCGGACAGCAAGCGAGCGGAGAGGGAGGAGAGGCCTGGAGGAAGGAAGGTCCCCCCCTCCCGCCTCAAGCTTTTGATGGAGGCCTCAGCCCACAGCCTCCTGAAAATGGGTTGCAAGTGGCAATGCCGACATTGCAAGCAATTAGTGCATAAGAAGTATGTGGCTGAATTTTGTGCCAGTGGATGTCAGGGTGTGGTGCGAGATAGCGCCCCGATTGCCTCGACCAAGCCTCGCGGGAGCACTGCGGTGTGCCCCGACGGTTTCGGCGCGGAGATACACCCGTCTCATGTGCTGAGCGATTCGGCCGAGTACCGAATGCACTTTTGCACCCGATGCGGCCTGTACGTGACGACTGACGTGAAGCATGTGCGTGAGGCCTGCGACGTGCCGAGCCGCAAAGGACGGGGGAACACTCGTCGCGAATCGGGAAAGCGCACTGCTCGCGGCGGGCACGGCCGCCGCGGGAAGTGCTGGGGGCCTTGTGCAGCGAAGAAGAGCGCGCGGCAGAACTTGCACATTCGGCGTTGGACACACCTCCCTTTAGTAAACCTCCCCTTAGTGAAAACGGCCTGGGACCGAAACCGACGGACCTGGACCCGCAAAAATGACGGCCGCGACGTCCTCTCGCGAACCGAAAACGGCCAATTCCTTAATCGACGTGTCAGGGTAGGAGGTCTGTCCACCTCCGACACATGAGCAAGCGAAGAGGCGGGAGCCCGAGGCATGTTCCGGAGCCGCTTCGCGGCCACATGGGTTCTGCATGCTGCCCTCGCTTCCAGATGTGCCGCGAGACGCGGCTTTCGCTCTCGACGGCGGGCGGGACGTGTCTGCCGCAGGGGGGGGTGCCTGCGATGCCCGTGGCAGAGGTGGGCTGCATTTGGGACCCTCGCTTGGGAGTCCTGCTCCTCTCCCCCCTCCCCCTCCCCCCCCCCCCCTCCTCCCCGTTTCCTTCTCCTCCTCCTCCTCCTCCTCCTCCTGCTCGTTTCCTGCTCCTCCTCCTCCTCCTCCTCCTCCTCCTCCTCCTGCTCCTCCTGCTCCTCCTCCTCCTCCCCCTCCTCCTCCTCCTCCTCCTCGTTTCCTCCTCCTCCTCCTCCTCCTCGTTTCCTCCTCCTCCTCCTCCTCCTGCCCCCGGGGGGCGAGGGGCCGAGGCGAGGCGCCCGTGGCGGCGGCCCTCCCGAGAGGGCAGCCCGGAGGCGCCCTTCTGTTGCAGCCCCGGTGGCCAGACGGATGGCGGGCCGCGCTCGCGAGCCGGCGCGCGCCCGGGCCACCCCCATAGCGTCCATCCCCCGTGTGTGTGGTTCGATTTCGCGCGCGTATGTTGTTCCCCACGGCGGCCTGGGATGCTCCTCGGCGGTTCTCGCTGAGGAAAAGTGCACACGCCCGAGCGATGCCAAGTTTGCCTTTTCGAAACAATTGGGGTCTCGCCGTCGGCGTCCCCGGGCGGGTTGCGGGTATGGGTCGGGTCACGAATGGGTCGAGTGGGGAGGGGAGGTCACAAGCTGTTAGGTCACGTGGCGAGTGGCGGGACGAAGTGACTACCTGCCAGACCACCCCAACCCAACCCGAAGACCCGAATTTCGGGTTGGGGGGGGGGGTAAGGGTTCCACACGTGTTTGTCCGATGTTTCCCGACCCCCCCCCCCCCACTGGAAATGGAGGGTAAATCTGAGCCTTCGGGTTGGGTTGGGGTGGTTTGGTGGGTGGTGACGAAGGGGCCCAGGGACGCACGAACCAAAAAATACACACGAATGCCCCAAATCCCAGGACTCTCCCCCTATTTTTCCCCGCAGGTTCTGCGTGTCTGTCTTCCCCACCGACTCCCACAGCTTCCCATTCTGTTCCTGGGAGTCGACGATTCATTGTGTCTGTGTGTGCTTTGTTTCCCCTCCTGCTTTACGAGGGTTGGTCGGCAGTGTATGCTCGAACGGGTGCACAGGTCGTTGCGGAGCTCCGGCTCCAAGACCTTGCTGTGGCCTGACGCACTCCGTAATGCTGATCCCATCCTGGGCCTCGGAGTTCTCAGCAGGACGCGCTGCTCTTCGACACCGTGGCCTCGCGTCGGCTATTTGAGAGCTCCTTGCCAGGTTCTTGCACGGATGGAGGGCGAGTCGCTGGAAAGATGTCTGTGCATTCTGATGCAATAGGATCGAGTCTGAATGCACGTGATGATACACCTGCGAAGCCAGAGGAGCTCAGGGCGCTCCGAGAGCGCTCCCAGGGCGCTCACGGAGCGCTCCTAGGGCGTTCTCAGGGATACTGACGGTGTGGAAGGGGGGAATAGAGAGAGGGACGAGTATCAAATAAGAAACAATCGCGCAAACATGCACGGACGTAATAATATGCGCTTCACAGCCGCTGTTTGTGGCGCATCCTGGACAATTCCGGTCTTTTCCGTCGCAACTGAGTAACGCAGACGTCTTGCACAGAGCCAGCGCCAAATCACTTTCCCAACTCTTGCTTGGAAGACAAAGGACATCATACCACCGAATCGCATCAAGCGGGCCTCAGTCCCTGGTACGTCAGTGCTACGGAATGTTGACGGTAAACCAAAAAACTAGGTGGAGCACCGGGGGCGCAGCCAGCCCAGCAGCAGTGGGCTGCCGATGTGCACAGGATGACGCAAAAAACATCTACGGTTGGTTCACCTCGTTCTGCTGTCGTGCCCCCCGCCCTCCTGCTACTCCCTCCTCCCCCCATTGCCATTTGTTTCCGCCTCGTAGTCGAGTCGCTGACCACGCACAGTCAGTCACTCTGCGACGTCTTATGGTATCAGAGCGAGGGGCCAAACGGTCATTCATTGTCCCTGGGTGCCTGGCACAGGTTGAGGATTCCGTGGCCCGGGTTCTTGTGGTTTGATCTTGCTGTACGTGGTGGTCGTCGTCGCCCTCCCCGCGACCCACTCGCGACCGACACCGCGACCCACCCGCGACCCACCCAGCGCTAGCGCCCTCACTCCTACGTGCAGCTGCGCGGTGCTTCGTAGAATTCCCTGGAGAGGCGCCAATCGCGCACTCTTCTCCCCACGCACCCTCCCCGATGCATGTCGGAGCAGCGTGCGGAGCACGCCAGAGGCCACGCCAGAGGCGCCGCAAAGGGGTCCAGCTCCGACTCAAGAAATCCGCGCGGAACTGCAGAGTTTGTTCTTCACGTGAATTTTGTTGTTCGGGCGCAAAGAGAAAACTCCTTCTGCTCTGCTACCTTCACCCCTCCTCAAATGCTCGTTTTGGGGACCTCCACCAATGTGTCGATGCTACGTCGAGCGCTCGTCGACTCGAGCCGAACACGAACCAAATTATAATCGAAATCCAGACAAACTATATTCGAACATATCCGTGAGGTTGCCCCTAGGAAGGTCCCCGGTCCCCCAAAACCATGATCTGCCTCTTTCCCCCCAGCTTCCTCCACAGGGCACGAGGGGGGAAGCGGGGCCCGTGGCCTGCAGCGACGGGTCCTTGCACTTGTCGTAGTAGGCGTAGCACTCGTCCACGTCGTCGGGCGAACCCAGGATGATGGGGACCTCAAAGCGGCGAGTGGCAGGTGGGAAACATGGGGGACGAAGGTCAAGGACAGGCGGCGAAAAGTCGAAAACAGAGAGAGAGAGAGAGAGAGAGAGAGAGACAGGAGAGAAAGAGATACAGAGAGAGAGAGAGAGAAAGAGAGGGAAATAAAACAAAACAGAAGGAAGAGGAATAGGTACATAGGTGTGTGTATGTATATATATATATATAGGAGAAAGCGTGATCCACCGCCGCTTTACTGTGGAAAATTGCCAACCTTTTCCTCCGGAACCCGGGGGTCGCCCCCCCCCCCCCCCTCCGAAAATCCCCCCCCCCCTGCTGGAACCCCTCCCCCCCCCCCCCTTCCCCCGGCAAAACCCCCCCCTCCCCTAACCCCTCCCCCCCCCCCCCCTCCCGCTCGAAAACCGGGGGGGGTCACTACCGGTTCGAACCCCCCCCCCCCCCCCCCCCGCCCCTCCGGATCCGGAAAACCGGGGGGGGTCACTACCGGTTCGAACCCCCCCCCCCCCCTCCCCCCCCCCCCCCCCCCCCCCCCCCCCCCCCCCTACTCACCGCCAGCAAACGACTCCCGGTCCCCACCACCGTCCGCATCACATCCCCCACTGGTGTTCCCAGCACCACTGTCCTCACCACCGCTGTCCCCACTGGTTCCACCACCGCCCCTACTGTCCCCACCAGTGGCCCCACCACTGTCGCACTGTCCCCGCTGTCCCCAGAACTGTTCCCACCACGGTTCCACTCTCCCCACTGTCTCCACGGCCCCAACCACTGCCCGACTATCCCCACTGTCCCCACTGTCCCACTGACTCCTCCGCTGTCCCACTGAGCTGTCCCACTGTTCCCACCACTGTCCCCACTGTCCCCACCACTGTCCCCACTGTACCTCTGTCCCATTGTCCCACCGCCGTCCTCGCCACCGCCTTCACCACTGTCCCCACCACCATTGTACCCTCCACTGTCCCACTGTTTCCACCTCATTCCCATTGTCCCCACACCACTGTCCCCACCACCACCGTCACCACCACTGTCCACTGTCCCCCCCTGTTCCCACCATTGTCCCCACCACTGTCCCCACCACTACCGTCCCCACCACTGTCCCACTGTCCCACTGTCCCCACCGCTGTCCCGCTATCCCCTCACCACTGTCCCCACCAACACCGCCCCCACCACTGTCCGCACCCCCACTCGGTTTTCGAGGGGAGGGGGGGGTTTCGAACCGGTAGTGACGCCCCCCGGTTATGAGCAGGGGGGGGGGGGGGAGGGGTTCGAACCGGTAGTGACCCCCCCCCCGGTTTTTTCCGGGGGGGGGGGGGGGGGGGGAGGGGTTCGAACCGGTAGTGACCCCCCCCGGTTTTCCGCCAGCAGCGGTAGAACACGCTCTTTCATATATAGGAATGAATGAATAGAGTGTGGGAGAGGGTGAGAGAGAGTGAGAGCGAGGGGAGGTATAGAAAGAGAGAGAGAGAGATAGATAGAGAGAAGACACTATCACATCAAATGGAAGGAGAGGGAGAGAGAGAGAGAGAGAAAGAGCGACATAGATAATACACGAGAGAGAAAATACTTAGCATGGGGATGTGCGAGAGTGGAGAAGCAAGCTGCGCGCGATGGCGCCATGTCCGGCATCCTATATATCCTTCCCATCCCTTCCCATTGCGCGGATGCTTTCCCTATCCGCGGACGCGCGTCACAGCTACTTGGTGGCCTGGAGCTCCGGAGAAGATCCCAGCGTGCTGTGCGCAATCGGACTGGGGGGGCGGCGTGCACAAGAGGAGGACGTTGCGGCCGAGGAGGACCGAGGAGGCGGAAAGAGGAGGAGGACGAGTGGCTGTCGAGGAGCTGGAGTGGGGGAGCGGAAGGGGGGCAGGCGGACCAAGGAACGGCGGATGATGGGGCACAGCGGGAGGGGGGCAAACGGTGAAATGGGGGGGGCGGGATGCAGAAAAGTGGGGCCCGCGCCAGGGCGCGAGGGCCACGCTGAACGACGGGCGCGCAGCGCCGATCCGAATATATGAGGCCTGGGCTGCAGCGGGAGCGCGAGTTCGAAACACAAGCAAGCGCAGCTCGCGGAACCACAAGCGAAGGCAACAGCTCGGCCAATCCTGCGCGTTGAAAAACACGGGGGGGGGGGCTCGGGATCCTCCAGACATTGAGAGGAGACAGATGAGGATAAACCAAGCGAAACCCATCCGGCGGAAGGCGCCCAGCAGGGCTGGCGGGCGGGGCCTTATCGGGGAACCGGTCGGCGCGGCTCAAGGGCCCCAAATGGCGGCGGGAGCAAGCAGTGAAAGGAAGCGAACTGGAGGAGACAGAAGAGACAAGAAAAGGTAATAACTAAGATGTATGGGATCGGTTGTCAACCTCACCCTTCTCTCTTTAAAAGGAAGGCAAGAAAAGTCTCGGGCGGTGCTGGTTGCGGCTTCGGCGGCCTTCTTTGCAGCCTTCTTTGCTGTTCTGGCTTCGGCACGCTTCGCCCGCCTAGCTGCTGACGGTGGGTTGCGTTTCAGCCGCCTGTCAGAAGAGAGACGCAGAATAGGACATTCTTTGGGAACTGCAAACTTGCCTTCACGGCCCTTGTCCTCCAAAGCGGCACTGCCGTGGCCAATCTGGGCGGCTGGGGCGTCGCCCCGGTCGTTGCCGTCACAGCTCAGCGTCTCGTCTGAACTATCGGTCAGGCTGATGTCGGAAGACAGCCTGGGCCGCGTCTTCGGCGGCGCCGGCGGCTCGGAAGAGGGAGCCGGCGTCGTAACCGAAACGGCAACTCTCTGTTCAGCGGCTCTCTTCCGGTCTTGTACTCCAAACTGTGCTCTCATCGTCTTAGCCTTCCGCCTGTCTCTGGGCTTCTTGGCATACATCCAATGACCGCACAAATCCACGTCTCTGCGGTAACGATGGTTGTTGGATTTCTCGCTCGCTGTTGGTGCGCCAGCAGTCCGAAGCTCCGAATCGACAACCAAACGCTCAGAAAGAATGTTCTGCTTGGTCTGAACATGTAGCTGCTGTCGAACCAGGCCCACAGCTCTTTCGGCCTGCCCCGGACGACTCAAGTCCTGGGAGCCTTGCGTCCGCACCAGGGCTGGCTGGCACCTGTGCCCAGAAGCTGCGTTGCGACTCCGTGAGCAGATGGCGTTTTGCTGGGCTCAGCCGGCGCGGGGGCGGCAGTGCGGCTAGCTGCTCTGCGGCCGCCGGAATTGCCACTGTAGGGGGGGGCCTTCCAAGAGGCGCCCTGGTTGGAGGTGGCCGTCCGGGCGGCGCCTTGCTGGTGGTGCCGGGCGAAGGCGGGGGCGCCTTGCTCGTCGTCGCTGGCGCGCGGGGCACGCGTGCGCCGATGGCTGTGGCTACCATCGCTGTCGCCGGATCCGCCGCTCCCTCGGACGGGAATCCCAAGCGCGAAGGTCTAGCTGGACCCGTGCTGCTAATGGTGTCTGGAGGAGCGGAGGCAGGCTTGCAGGCCGAAGTAAACGACAAGATACCCGATCGAATCGGAGAGAGCAGTTTGAAAAAAAAAGTTCGAGTTTGGCATCGCAGGCGGATCGGCGACCATGTCGGAATCCGGCAACCACCACAAATCTGTTGGGATAACCTTACTGCTGTGGAAACGCACCTACAAAACAGTAGCGTCCCGAATGCGCTGCAGGGGAGGGGTCAAATCCTCCTCAGACACGTGTGGCGTAGTCGAATAGATGATCGTAGCCAGAGACCAACTCTCAGAAATCAGCACTCCCGGAAGTGGTTCCGAAAGGTTCAGCGCTTCCTGAATGCGCCGTCGCGTCGCGAAGCTCACATCCAAAGCCTTCTCACCAGCCAGCGTTTTTGTTGCCAACGTGCTCGCGCGGGTTCGTTTTTGTTTCTTGGGAGCCCATCGGTATAAGAACGCTCGGACGACAGGCTTGTTTCCCTATGCCATTTCTCCAATGAAGGTGACCATTCCCCGCTGCGATGGCTTGCTTTTGGACGGATCTCCATGCGAATACACGCAAATATATGTTTCGACATGGGTCCAACATTGAGCACTACAGATTCGTTTCGGATGCGTCGTGCGTTTTGTTGCGCTCTAACAGCGTGGCAACCGTGGCAGTCTGCACCTTTGGATGCCATTGCGCTTACGTGGAACGATCCTGTCGACACTGTTTGGTCCACCGCCCAGATATGTTCTTTGCGAAGAGAGTTCCTTTCGATCTCTGTCACTGGAGAAATTGGGCAACGGGCGCGATGGGATGGAACACCGATCGTGGATAGATTCATGCAGTCCGCCTTCTGGTCTTAGGTGATATACGGCATACGGACTGATATGTAGCCCACAAAACACAAAATCACCAGGCGAACGGCTACCCCACTGAAGAGGAAGAGAATCCACTACGATCCAGAATCCCTCTGTGCCGGCCATCGGCGCGTCATCCACGCGAAGGCCGACGACGCCCTGAAGGTGGCCGCTCTCGAACCGAAAGAACGCGCAAGGGCCCCGGATCGACTGCAAACCCCGTTCGAGAAGAAGAGAACGCATATGGAAAAGAAAACACACGCGATGGGGCACGACGAAAACCGCGCAGCGTTTTGCCCATTCGGAACTTACATGCGCAATTATTCGGGAGATCCGTGCCAGCCGGAAGTGCGACGAAAACTGGCTTGTTTTCCCAGTTGGGGTCTGCGGGCGCGTCGGCTTGAAGAAACGCCTTCCTGACATCCTACGCTTCTGGTGCCCGGCCCTGGTCGGCGGCCAGCCAGAGGAGGAAGCGCGCATAATGTCGGTGCAGAGTCGGACTGTTCACTACGTGGTCATCTTTCCCTGGCTCGAAACATCCCTGGACGACCAGACGAGCTTCTGGCTCCCCTTCAGGAGCGGTCTACACGAATCTGGACGGGATTGCTACGGCTCCAGGAGGGAGCGGTTTGACCTCGAAATTGTCGGACACTGCCTGAAGTTCGCGCATTCGTGGAACTTCGAATGCAAGGTTCGGGGATCTTCTGACCCGGGTCAATCCAGACCTGGGTCAGGTGGAAACCAAAAACTGCAATGCAAGAAAAAAACAGCAACGCAGATCTTCGCAAACCCGGGTCAGCCAATACGCGCGGCCGCCTCGCGGCCACGAGCGGCTCGCTAACCCGGGTCAGCCAGAGGGGATCTTCGCAGGATCCTGCAGGATCTGGCGCCCTGGCTGACCCCCGTTTGCATTGACCCCCGTCTCGAGGCTCCCGAAGGGTCAGATTCGGCAATTCTGCGGGGGACCTCTTTGGTGGTTTTCAACGTTTTGGCTGCAGCTAAAGCGTCGAGAAAACTCTTTCCTGGGACACCAACGTGTTCAGGACAGCTGGAACAGAAATCCGCGACCTCAGCCATCATCGACCACTGCTCTGGCTCGCGGAAGATGGGAATCTTCCGCGTCGTCGTGCGCAGCTGCCAACGAATCGTCGTCCGAGGGGATGTGAGGGTGCGTCTGTCACTTATGCGGCGGTTCCTCGTCTAGCACCTCGCCGTCCCACGGTTTCTTGCCAGTGATCCGCCCCAAGGGTCTGGGCGGCACTGTCGGCGAATGCGCCGGAGGAGGCGCATGCGGCTCCTGCAGTGCCACCGCCGCCGGCACCGCAGGCGGCGGCGGCACGCTCGGTGGAGACTGCGGCGGCGCAAGTGGCGGAGACGGCGTTGCAGCAGTCGGCCGCCGCTGGGGCGGTTGCAGCGGCTGCACTGGCTGCGGCGGTGGTGCTGCGATCGGAGGTTGCACAGTCTGTGTGGGAGGGGTTTCAGCGTCGTCCTCAGTGGCTGGGCTGCGTTGTTTCGTTTCGGCGGGATTTGTAACCTGGACCTCGACTGCGCCATTCTTCTCGCGAGGGCGAACGCGAAGGCGATGCGCAGCAATAGCGTTGCCATCACGGGTGCGCATCCAATTTTGTTGCTGGCACTCCATGCCAAGAGCTCGCGCAAGTCCTTTCCCAGGCTGTGCCGGTGGTTTTGGCTGTCGGACTTTCGTTTGCAATGAAATCAACCTCTGTGCCCACGTCGAGAGGCCCAAGAGTGCCAGCGAGACGAGACTTGAAGATCTCTCGTAGCTCTGAGCAAGTCTGGATTTGGATCGCCGTCTGCTGCGCTGCCCGGCGAAGGGGCAAACGTGCTTGCGCGCAGCTGGCTGGATCGCGCGGCGAATCGCGAAGCATCGGCGGGTATGCTTCGTCGAAAGCGCCGAAAAATGCGTTGTTCCCACAAGCTAGGTAGGGACTGCGCAGAGAAACCACACCGTCTGACTACAGCATTCTTCGTCGCGGAGGCTTGCAGCGTGACGTCTGCTGGGGCGAGGATTCCATCCGAAATCGGTTGCTTGAACATTTCGGTAAGCTTATAGAAAATAAGCTTAAGAACGCCGTTGTGACGCTGGACAAGACCAGCCGAAGCAGGCGTCCGGGGAGGAGCCAAAACATGTTTTACCCCGTGGAGTTCCATATATTGTTCAACCTCCTTGTTCTTGTATTCCCCGCCGTCGTCAGCGAGAAGCTATTGTGGCAGAAAGCGGAAAACCGACTGCCAGCGCGAAGAGGATTCAACGTTCCGTTGGAATCCCGATCCAAGGCGTGCTCTTCAAGGGAGTGCTTTGTAAAACTATCTACTATGTGTTGGAAAATGAAACCGGCAGAGCCAAAGCTGTCCGTGCGGACGATATCATTCACAGTGCGGGCAGTGATGCCCGCTGTTTTGGGATGGGCGGCAACCTTTGAGAATCGATCGCATATCTTGCAACTGCACGTGATTTTTCGGCCAGCGCACGGACTGCAGGAACGCAGTGTGGCTCCAAGACGGACGCGATTTTGCGCGCGGGCTGCTCTGCGCTGGAGCGCCCAAGACGGTCGTGCATTTTTCGGAGGCCGGACTCGTTCTGAAGATTTTCCCGGACCTTGGATCACCGAGGTGGCAAAGACACCTGAAACGAACGTGGGTGTTCCTGGACAGCGATGGTCTCGCACGCTCGTTTTGTGCTCCCGCTCGCGGCGTCTGCTGCGAGGGCAGGCGCTGACCCCGGGCAAGCAGTGCTGTTGAAAACGAGGAGCGGGAAGAGGTAATGACTAGCAGATAATGTTTTCAACTTTGACGTTTTGCCGGCCGCTTTGCAATGCTTCGTGCCGCTGCCGAAATCGATGAAAGCGCATAAGTTGTTCAATTGATGCTTTGGCAGCAACAGCGGCGTTGCTTGAAAACTAAAGCATGCCTTGACTACCTCGACATCCGCTTGCGATGTGATGCTCGGCGCTGGCGCGGTAGCTGTGTGTTCCCGTTGCTTTGGCCTCGCCTCCTGCAAACCGGCACCGACTAGACGACCGACACCTGGACGCGACAAGGGGGGTACTCCGCAGCCAGGAGAGCCCGGATTTTTTCGAAACGCTCAGATGAAACCATTCCCTTGGAGCAACCCGAATCAATAATCGCCTCGTGGATGGCAATGTCTATATGCAAGCTGCTTCCCATAGCTTCCGTAAACGTTGTCGCAGCAACGACGCGGGAACCGGCTTCCAACCTGAACGCATTCCCCCACTCCACGTCGAAAACAACAGCGTCGCCAGCGGCCGGGAAGCCCAAGCGCGCCAGCTCGGCCGACTTTTCCCCCGAGGAACCAACGATCGACTCGTGCAGCGAGGGTCGCCAGAGTTTCTTCTTTCGTTTGCGGTCTTTCAGCGGTCTTTTGGTCGTTGGCGTCTTTGTCGTCGTCTTC